ACAAATATAGACATTTTAGAATACCCCCTTATTTGCAAACTTTCTACTGTTGTGTAATTGGAGTGAGAGGGTACTTACCTTATCTACCCTGTTTGTTACCTCACCAATTTTTTATCTACGCTGGGAAGTAAACATGAATGGCTGAGAAATATACTTTGTCATAAGGTATGAATCAATAGAACCCACAACAATTATAAGATTATTATTTTCCCATAAGTGATGCTCACTTAAAAAAATATCCGGTATCATCTCTTTCCGGCATCATAGTGAACCTATTGGAAAAATCAATGATACCCAAAAGTCTTTGACCAATCAAAACCCCCCAATCCACATGATTGTTTACCATTTTCATGATGTCCATCGATTAGTTACAAGTTTTTTTGGAGAAGTAAGGATAGGCCCAATGTAGATTTTTGATTTCCATTGTAGAGTTATAAACATTCAAAAGGTCAAAAAACCTATATTTTATGTACTTATACTTGCCTGCGAATTGGTATTAATTCCAAGCTGGCACCTACCCCAAATGTACTTTGAGCCTATAAATTCTCACCCTGAGCTGAACCATCATTCTCCCTAAATTTTTCCGGTATGCAAACAATCTCATCCTTGTTTGTGAGTGCCCACACGGAGCAAGGTTCAAAATATCGACACATATTGACTAATATGTATCGTTCCAACACCCCACCAGTACGCCCCTACAGTGGGTGTATCAGTGGTCTGACCAATTCAGAGTGTAGTGAAGACCTAAATCGACTCTCCTGAATAAATTGGCGAAAAAAAAAAAACCACGAAAAGAAGCGTATCGATGTCACGGAGCATGTCAGAGGGGAAAAAAAAGAGATGGAAGCATCCATCCAAACAAGTTGCACTAAAATTCAATCTACATGAACACATGTAGAATTTGACTTTACCCAATTTTCTTCCTAGAATCCTAATACTTCCAGTCCTCCCCTATCAATCTTTCCATTTTGAAATTCACCTAAGCTATTTCCTTAAATTCCTCGGTATCCCCGTTTAACTTGTACCTCCTATCCTATTCTTTCTTTTTCTTTTATTTTGGATTTCATGTTCTACTCTTCTGTCCTTCAAAGTTCAAACACAGGGCAACAGGTTTCTGACAAGCTTAGGTAGCAAACAAAATTCCATGTCATCTTATCTTCCTTTTAGGTTGTTTTTGATCTTTTGTCCAGGTGGATAAGGAGAGAGCTGACGGTATGACGGAAAGTGTATGGTTTTGCATTTTGGTCCCTTCTGTAAGGAATTAAATGCTGCCTTCTTCTTTTTCTATTTTTCAGGTTCATATTATCTGTGGTTTGAGTTATGGACAGAAGCTACCCTCAATGCACACCCCAGATTTTTTTCCAACCATGCATTGGAAACATAACCCATGATAAGTATATGAGAGCTTACAGAATGCACGGTTTGGATTGCACTCTATGGGGGAGTCCTTGCTGTCTACACTGGCCGTTCTTCATCCAACACCCAAAATAACCACCCCATCTAAAAAAGCAAGGGAATAGGAAAGGGAAGAATGTCATGAACAACGGAACTGAGATAATTCTTTCATGGAAAATTCTTATGAGATACCTGCATCTTTTTTTTTCTAGATTTTGGTATTATGGAGTGTGGGTTTTTAATTTTTATATATATATTTTTTTTGGTAGAAGTGGTTTTCTATTTTATATTCCATTCAAATTCAGATTCAATTCCTTAAAGAGAAATCTTGGATTTATATCTATATTAGAAGAGGAAAAGTAGGTGAGGGGTCATCTCATCACAGAACTGTTAAACAGTGTATGCCATTAGCTTCAATCAAATTGATATACAAATACATTTATTCTAAATGAACAAAAGTGCATTATTGTTTCATGTTGATATTAGTATGTTTCTGTGTAATTACTCTTTTAAACTGGACACTTGTGATACTCATGTTAGTTTAGAATGTTTTCAACCAATTGATAGACTTGGAGAGTTTATTTTGCCAAGACTAACACTGATGTATTGTTAAAGAAATTATGACAACTTGTCTTAGCTTCTAGGGTTAGATCCAAAGCATATGTAGTGTGTGTTTGGATGAAACACTAAATTTGGACCATTTTTCAGTTATGCCCTAGACCTTGGAGATTGATGGGCAAAACTGAAAAGTTACACATAATCCCTAGACTTGATTATGGTACTACACTAGGTATTGGATTTGATTGTTTTTTATATACCAATCAGTGAGATCCATCAATGGTCAAAACCTAGGTATGTTGGGGCAATATGAGAATTCACCTATGTGGGTGATCATAATGATAGGATCGGTCCCTTTATCGGACAAAGTAAATGATAGAATTTACACTCTCTCTGATGGAAACCTAAACTATTGGCAGTAAATTTCAACTATGTTTGAAATTTGGTTTTACAAAAGGTTTGAATTCCCGGGATCCATCCGAGTAGAGAATGTGACACTGTACCTTACAGCCAAGGGAGAGGTCATTCATTGTTGAGCAGTGTTGTGATCATTATGGGCTGAGAGGTTAAGTGTAAGAGACCATTACAGGGCTGATTATCTGATAGGTTTTATCTTACTTAAGTTTATTAACTTTGAGTCTTCATAGGATGGGTGATTTAAAGATCATTTAAATGTAAATGTTGGGCCCATATTGAGCCCATAGTGATATGCTTAGGGATTCACTACGTTTAATAGTAAATTCGGCTAAACCTTTTCATAAAGGCTGGGTTGAACCCATGTGGACTTATGTGAGTTTATTATGGGGTCCCATGCCATACAAATCAGGCATAAGTTGGCCATGCGACATCTTGGATCGTGAGCATTTGAATGAAATGGGCCTAAGGTCCATAATTAATAAAATTAAGTAAGCTGTTACATGTAGGGGTGGCAATGAGTTACTTTTCATGAGTTACTCGAGTTTGGCTTGGCTCAGCTTCAATCGAGCTCGAGCCCAATTCATTGGCTCAATTATTAAACAAGCCGAGCTTGAGCCTACTAGAGCTTGGCTTATGAGACTCGCAAGCTGGCTCGAATATATATATATATATAATAAAAATATTATAATTCTTAATTTTTTAAATATCAAATAAAAAATATTTTATATATAGTTTTTTATTTTTATAAAATATATTTTCTCAAAATCGAGCTCGAGCCGAATTGAGCTCGAGCTTATGAATTTTTGACTCGAGTTAAGCTCAAGCTTAAGGTTCTGGCTTAAACCAAGCTCGAGCTCGAGCCTTGTAGAACAGTCTCGAGTTGAGCTCGAGCCTCGTACTATTCGGCTTCGCTCAGCTCAAATCCACCACCCCTAGTTACATGACAATTTAACTTTGGGTCAAATCTGAGTGTGGAAATGGGTATGAAGCACCCATCCTCTTAAGATGATAAGCCTTATCTCTTAATAGAGTCTAGATCCAAATTAGACTTGGATAAACTCCTAATTTGATTAGGAGAGTGCTCTGTGCTCTATAAGTAGATAAAAGAAGAAGAGGGTGAATTAGACTATAAGACTCGCTCTCTCTTGTTCTCTATTTTTCTCTTTTGTCTTCTAAGAAACACAACCTAGGCTTTCAAGGACTGATAGAGATAAGTTTTCTATTGATTTTTGCAAGAAAAATTTAAAGGAATTTTAGGCTCACCTTCCACAGTTCAATCCAAGCAATTGGATTGCAGTTTTGTTGAAAACTGTGTTGCTGAATCAGCTTTACCTAAACACTGCACCATCTTCAGTGGAGGCTGGTTTTAAGATTGGTTTGGGCGTGAACTTTCACCTTGGGATTTGCGTTTGTGGTATACGTATCAGGTATAAATCTCCCTTTTTGTTTGATTTCAAATCTGGAACGGTTCAGTGCAATACCGATCCTGAAAAATATAGTTTTTTAAAACATAGGAAATTTGATTCCTAAAAGGATTAGAAAAATTTTGAAATTTCATCCAGCCATTTAGCATGGTTCAGTCATCTATATGATGGATTCTGACCCTTCCAACAAGAGTTCATATGCACCTTATACTTCTCTCATTTTTTGAAACATGTGGTTATTTATTTTTAAATTAAATTATAAACTCCCATCCAATAATTTATATTTGTAACATCTTCCCTCTCCGTTAAATCCCTTCTTTCCTCTTAAATGATTCCTTTTAACTCTCTTAATAAAGGGGTATGAATTAAATGGGGTCATCTCACCACAAAGATCCTCCTCTCATTTTTCACCCACACGGTTATCTATTTTTAAATTGAATTATTATAAAATATAAATGGCCACAACAAAATCTATTTATGTCTTAGTTTTCTCTAATAAAATCCATCATTTATTCTTATCTAATAAGATCATTCTTAAAACTTTCTCCCCTTAGGTGCAGGTGCTATGGGCCCTTACCACTTTGGAGCCAGATTTATACTTCGTGTTTGCTCATGTTATTCCGTTAGGTCCTCTATCTCCTTTAGAGGCTGAAGCGACAGATATGTTTGAAGCTATCCACTTTAGTATGGACATGGGTCTCCCCTCAATAGTTTTTGAAGGCAATTCTCAATTGATCTGTACTCTTTCTGTTGGATGGGAATCTCTCCGCTCTTGGGCATATATACATATGCTCATTTGTAATTGCAAAAGTATACTCTCTTGCTGAAAGGGATTTCTCATACTAAAAGGGAGTCAAATGCAGCTGCTTACCCAATTTGTTTTGTCATGAACCAAAAATTCAAACTTCCATATTTCCTTCACATTTTCACAATGTAACCATGTCAACGTGGAATGATGAATGAATTTGCCTGCCTTTGGACTTTTGAAACCCCCCCCCCCCCTTTCCATTAAATCTCTTCTTTCCTCTTAAATATAAATTAGATCAAGTTAAAAACTAAGCCAAGATTAACACTAGACATGACCCTATCCTAATCTAAACTGATGTCAAAACTCAAATTTGTCAACCAAACCCAAGTAAATTACTTGTTAGTAGTTATTTATGTTTTGATTATAATCAAAGCGGTTACACGTCAGGACAAATACAATTAGAAAATTCTAGTGGATTAACTTTAATAAATGAACAATTTGGGCTCCCACACTAGAAGAACAATCTAAGAACACACTCTCCACCAGATCATTATAAAAGTAAACATGCTTAGTGCCCATGACGACACCGACCAAAATGAGAAGAGGGATCTTCACTCACCAGTCCAATTTGTTCCTCAGATTAAATCATATACACAGACCACGGCAATTGCAGTTTCTGGGCTTCAAGGTTTTATCAAATTTTGAAACGCAGATGTTCCTCAGAGCTAAATTTCAACTTATCATGGTTGGTAAGAAATCAACGGGTTTGCCTATACAGAAACACCAGAGTCTGCGACCCCTTTATCATCATTATTCACCTGGCCCCCTGGTATACGTTTAAGCGAGTTGACTCCGCCCGACTGATTCAATTTTAACCCTAAAGTCAAATCTCTATCCCTGATATGTGATTGTGGACACTAGATCTGCTAGAAACAAGATGTTGAAACCAGGCTAGGAACACCAAGCAGAAGCAAACACGTCACTGTTCCATACTGTTACCGGATGTACCATAACTGATCGTGTGCCTCCTCCCCAGACCAACGCCCCTAATAACAAATTAAGTGTAGCCACTTGTCAAAAGTTTTCGACCCAATTACAGCGCCCTGGGAAGACTTTTCTAATTTGATTGCATTTCTGAGGATCCTAAGCCATTGAATTACAAGAAATACATAACAGATGCACCATTCAGAAATGCACGAATCAAGCATTCGGCTTCTCTGTGGAGAATCTTGGAAGTTGAACAAGCGAGTTGACTCGTGTCACACCTTCCAAACCTGACCAGTTTTGGTCATCAACTATTACAGTTCCATCCTCTCCCTCAACTTCAACAGGTATTCTGTCGTTTTGGTTGCTCTCTTCTGCTGTTCTCACTGTAAAATTCCTCTGTAGAGATGGTTCCGAGTTTTGGCCATCATCTGACTCAGTTGCAGCAGAAGGCTGATGGCCACAATAACTGGCAGTACATATACCTTGCTCTTCTGCCTCTGATTCAGAGTCCATCTTGCCATCCAGAAATAAGCACACTACTGCACAATCATCCATTTTTGAAGTGGGATATTTTAGTTTCCACTCGCGAGCAGCTGACTCTACTAGGATCCGTGCAGCTGATGATCGGGTTGGAGCTGAAGAAATAATCTCAACCACTTCTTCATTGCTCAAGACATCCCAAACCTGCAACAGGGAGATCCATGAGACAACTTAAAAAACCCTGTAATGATGACAACTTCCTAGAAGATAAATACAATCAAGTTATGCGCATGCATGGATATCGTTTTTCTATGCTATTTCCCCGCACTATCCTGTGAGCAATCTAAGCATCACCCTTTTTTTTATGCACTACTAACTTTGTGGGGTCCTATGAAGTATGGAAACTTGTTAGATGTCTCTGGAGGTGCAGAAGATTGGTGCAACTACACTAAAGAAAGAGAGCAAAAACATTAACAGGGATAGCAATCTCATCAAAATAGGAAACAGAAGTATAACAATGACTTCCTAGTTACATCTTTCTTCTCCACATCTGGCATTACAGACTTGAAGGAAGAAAAGGTCTAATAGTTGTCTCACTGCTTTGGCAATTCCATTAATCAAGTAAATTTAAGTTAATTGAAAGAAAATGTCACAAAAGTAAAATAGTTCAACAAAAATTAAAAGCTGCAGCAATATAACTAATCGTGTAAGTTGATTTGTAAGAATAAACATGAGTTGGTAGAAGATAAGAAATATCTACTGTATTTGACACTCTTCAATACTTTCAATGGATGAGGTGTTAGAACAATGATCTTTCTTATGTTTTACAACCCCTGTAGTACTAGGATACGACTTAAGAGTAAGTTAAATGGTATATGAACGATATGAGCAAATGGGGCATGTTAGAGAGGCTAAATTTAGTGAGTCAAAAAATAGGATAAATTATCATGCTTTGTTGAATTTCAAGTTCACTCAGTAGATGAATGCCTTGTTTACAACAAAATTGAGAAATGTAGACTATTCCCGCCTTCTCTTGATGTTCAAGTTCAAAATTTTCTAACTTCAGAGGCATAGCCCACTTTTACCAATTCTATACTTTGCTAGTTGTGGTAGTAGAACACTGTTAATTTGAACCAGGATTAATGCAACTAAGCGAACATATCACCATGAAGAATAGTACTATATATCAATGTTTTAAAAAGCATTTGAGGCATATGCCTAGGGATGCACCTCTACGCAAGAAGCACTCAAAATGCCCTCAGGTTAATGTTGGAGGTGTGGGCGTATACCTTATCAGAGAAAGGAGAAAGAGATCCTCCTCTCGAAGAGGCTTACTCCTCCTTGCTCTCAGAAGGCTTACACCTCTTGCATTCTTAACCATGCCTCATGCCTCCAGGTAGTGGAACATTGCCATATATATTTTTCTCTCTCCATGCAAAAATTCCACAAATAGCTAATGTTGGACTAGCACATGGAGGTTGGACTAATCAAGTGGCATTTAAGTGTAAGGATATTACTAAAATGATTGAGGCTTGCTCCATTGTGACCTGGGTGACTAGGGTTCCAATCTTGGAAACAGCCTCTCTGTATGTGCAGGGGTAAGGCTGTGTACATCTGTGCCTCCCCAGACCCTGCATTGGTGGGAGACTCGTGCACTGGGCTGCCCTTTTGACATTACTAAAAAGATTCCTAACCAGCAACACTGCATAAGGAAGAAATTAACAGCACATTCATACAACATGGAAAATGTTTTGATTTGCAGATGATTATTTTCTTCTAACAATTTCCATATGTTAAACACATTTTCAGGATTTGTCTATATTATAACTTAAAATAACACCCTCCAAACTTCATTCCTTTTCATCTTGGTTCTACTTGGGAAAATTTGTAGTTTATGTATTTCAATCTACAAAGAGATGTCCTTTCATCTGTTTTATTGCTATTGATATTGTTATACAACTTCATAAATATGATCTGTAACAGTCTAACAGAACCACAGTATGTGATGCTCTGTGCACCATAGCTAACAACTCAAGTCCAACTATTGACAAGTCTCTATGCCCAAGTTACAGAAGTCATTAAACCACATGCCTCAGAACTAAGAAAACCACTAGAAATAACATGGTTAAGCTTCAAACTTGATGTTAAGAAAAACTCAAAACTCAAGTAGAGCTTCATAAAAGAAAACATGAAGCTGAATTTGCAACTCTATTAAGTGACTTCTAGTTTTCCTCCTTTTTTATAATTAATTCAGAATTGTATTAAATATAAAAAGAAAATGTCCTTAAAATTCCTTTGGGAAGGGTAGGATATCTAGCACTTCCACAAATAGATTTTTTACTTTACAACTTGCCAACTTGGCCCAATAGATTTCCTCCCTAGTAGCCCCTTGTTTGGGTAATGCATCAATGACATCATTAGCCAATGTGCACAAAGGAATATCTTAAAACCTACAGTTTAACAAGCCTAGATAAAATGAATTTTGGATGACCGACCCCAAGTATTAGGAATAAGGCTTCATTGCAATAATGGGTAACAAAAGTTATTGTTTATTTTCTTCTTTTTCACTTTCTAAGTTAATTGAGTCATCTTCTAATCAGCAATACAAATCATTTCAAACAAAAAAAAAGAAAAACAAAGTTGCCTCTTTCTCATTGTAGCTTGCAAATTTTGTTATGAAAAAGGAAACAGAAAATTCACATGCCCTACAAAAGAGAATATACTTACTCCATCTGAGGCAAGAACAATAAATTGATCTCTCTCTGTAAGTATTCTATGAGAGAATTCAGGTATAGATATCACTCCATAGTCCTTCAGACAGAAATCCCCAAATGCCCTAGCCATTGCTAATCCAGGAGCATCATCAAATGGCAACCAAACTCTAGGAACTTCAGGCTCATCTTGCAGAGCAAAGACCCTTCCTTTACACCGTTTAATCCTCTCGGCTTCCTCTATAATGAGCAAATCAAATAAACAGGTTTATGTTTTGATAACATGCAAATCAGAAAATAAATTGATTAATAAAAAGCGTACTTGGTAAATCAGGCTTTAGATCAACTGTCAACTGTACTGCAACCATGGAACCATTGCTGTCCCTGGAACCCAGGATTGCACGGGAATCACCAATGTATCCCATGAAGAGATTCAACCCCTTCAAATCAGAAGGAAGAGAAAAAAAAAAAAAAGATAAGAAAGCAGAAAGGAGAAAAGTAGAAAAGAAAGATCAAAGCAGTGTTTTCGTAATGGACCTGTTTAACTATAGTGACGGCAGTGCTACCACTGCAAAAGCAGTCCAGAGTAGGATGGGACCTTAGCTCCTTGTCCATGGATTTGTATGACTTGAGGAAAGCTTCTCTCCACAAAGATCCCAGGTCCTCAGTTGGATCATCCTTCTCAGACTCCTTATCCATGGAATCTGGTTTTGCTTTTCTACTAAAACAATTATTGCCCAAGCCATTTTGCCTTGATTCTTGAGATTGAAGGAAAGAGAGTAGCTTCAATGGCAGGGTATCCCTCACTTTGCGGGCAACAAGATGACCATGCGGGCCATGACCATCAAAGACCCCACAAAAGATTGCATCTTCTGACATGAAATCCTGCATGAAACAAAGGTACATGTCTCATTTTAGCAAGAAAACCATACCAAATAACTTGGTAAGGTTGGAAGAACAGAACATACTTCCCAAACAACCATGGCATCCTGGTTAATGCCCTTGCGCCCTTGTTGGGTGAATATGCAAGAAGTTCTGCTGTTTCCATTTGCAAAGATTCGGTTGGAAATAGAAGGCAAACGCTGCAATGTAGTGACATGCTCAGACAATGATTTCTTCAGTCTCTTGGTCCTGCATGATCTGAATCCCAGGCAAGAGGAGGAAATTGCCTCTTCATTGTTCCTGCTACTACTGCTACTGCAACCACTACTTACCGATACACAACACCCCATCTGCTCAGCTCCAAAACATAGGCATCCGAAGGAAACGAAGGACAGAATCCTACTTTTGCCGGATACAGATGTCACTAGAAATCCCGGGATTGGTCCAGTGGTCAACCAGCAAAATTATTCATATTTAGAAAGATTATCGCGCATAGAGTTGCAACCAAAGGCACTTGAAACCTCAAGTAAGCCCGGACAGAAACTTCAACTAGGGTTTGATTATTTTTAGTCAAACGTGGATCCACTGCAAGGAAACGTGAATCAATGTGAGAACCAGCTGAGTAAAACGAGATTGAGTTAATTAATTGAATTATTTAATCCACAATTGCATACAAGGTAAAATACCGCATTTAGACCAAATGAGAAGTTAACCAAAAAAAAGACCGAATGAGAAGATTTGAATCCTCTAGTTGCAGAAAAGAAAAAGAAAATGATCCTCAGACAAGGGAATAGAATATACAAAAAGGTGTCCTGTTTCTTTCGGTCATCAGGAAATACAAAAAAACAGTAGGAAAAAAATCGCAAAGAAATATTAAAGAAAGAGAAGTTTATCTGGTTAAGACAGACAAACAGGAGAATCTGAAATAGAAAACTTCCAAGGACATACCAGAAAACGAGAAACCTGTCGATCTTCAGACTTCAGAGAGAAGTTAAGAGGAAAGAGATTAAAGATTTAATTTCTTCATGGACAAAGCAAAAGATGCCAAGTGGAAAACTCGAAAAGGGTAGAAGTAAACAAATCCATATCCTGTTTATCCAAGGAAAACAACAGAAGAAAGGCCATGGAAATTTCGAACAATGCAGCAAGATCGATGGATCTTCAGCAAATGTTAAAGGAAAAAGAAAATTTGCTCACCGAATTCAGAGTGATTTGGCACAAACTAAGAAAAGCATAAAGGAAACCACACAGCACGCACAAATAGAACGAGAATTGGCAAAAATCTCGGCTTCCATAATCTACTTCAAGTCCTAATGGAAACTGGGAAGGATAGAAGTCCCAAGACATCCAACATAGCTCCACAGAATCCTAAAAGAAAATGAAACCAACCGAGAAAGCAATAACATTGAAGCAAAACGGATGAAGGACGGCAACAATGTAAACAAGAAAAGAATACCAATTGGATCTGGACTTCTCATAATAAGCACGAAACAAAAATAATTAAGGAAAAAAAGAAAAAAGGGAAAGGCAAGTCACTGTAGATTTTTGAATTTCTCTTCTTCAGGGCAAACCAGAAGAGAAAGTGGGGGGAAAAGCAACCGATAAAGTAGAAAAGACGAAAGAGAGTCATGATTTTGCCGATCTATGAAAAAAGAACTGGAAAGGGAAAAAAAGACCACAAAAACTTACGTAATATTTTTTGAAGAAAAACAAAAAAGTAGAAAATAAAAACAAAGCGAGAAATGACTCAAGATTATACAGAGAATCCGAACAAGTTGCTTCATAGATCTTCAATTTATTTACGTATTTCAGGAGAGAAGACTGATAACTTGCCGCCAAACTTAAAATTTCCTTATGCAACAAAACCAAAATAAAAATGAAATCAGCCTATCGTAGTAGAAAACAGATATCTGGATCTCATATGCAAGATTACCTTCTGCCTTTTGGTTTGAAGACGCTAACTCCTATGTTCTATAACAGAACCTAAAAACAAAGAAAGTAGACTCTGCTGCAACTATGATTCAACCTGAAAGAAAATGAGAGAGAGAGAGAGAGAGTACAGGATTCAGAGGTCTTCTAGAGCAAATTTGTCCCAGGTGCCAGACGGAGCTCGTTCAACGGAAAAGAGAAATTTGATCGGAAGTGGAGAGAATTAGTTCACAGTCATACGAGTTCAGGAGCTTTCCATGACGAGTGGTACCTGCTCTGTCTGAAATGGAGGGAGAAAGAGAGATTATTAAGGAAAGGTGGTGGTGCAGAGAAATTGCATTTAATGCGAAGGCAAGCCAGAGACGCTCTGTGAGAGAAAGAGAGAGAGGAAGTGGCTATGGATTAGAAGAAGGTTTACAGAGACCAGAGAGTGAAGAATGATGATTATTACTCTACTGACTGATTGAGAGAACAGAGAAGAAGGTTTAATTATTTGGCGGGCACGGGCCACGGGCAAGGCAATTCTCGTGTGCCTGCCCGACTGCCCTTAAGCTCCCAGTAAAAAAATAGAAAAATAATTATAGAGATAAATAAGCAATTAACAAAAGCACGCCCCACATCACAGCTGGCCGATCGTGCCACGTGGCATAGGCATTTATTTGGCACGAGAAAAAAAGCTGACCTAGTAACCTAACTCGTAACTCCAAAAGACCAAAACCCTCTCTCTAGTCTCTCCCTTTCAAGTTTCAACCGTGCCGTGTAACGTGTTGTGTGCCTTCCTCTGATCAGATTTGATTCTTTCCTTGGGAGGCCGGGTCCATCGGACGTTGAAGGGCTTTTCTGGTAATCGCGAAACCCAGGCTCCAGGCCCCAAATGAGCTGATGACACAGCTATCGTGCCACCATGGTGCTCAGTTGGAAATCCTGGGACTGCATGCTTCTGCTTCTGCAGAGGAGAGGAATTGTAGATAGGACAGAGAAAGAGAATAGAATGTTTCTCGATGGGCTCAAATACTCATTGTACTTCAATCAGCATCATATCAATCTACCGTTATCCTATCCAATCAACGGCATAGAAATCCTTAATCCAACGACTGCTGAGTGGTGGACGACATACTTATTTTTCCTATAAAGCTCAAGCTCTCCACTCTGAGAAAATTCAATTTAAGAAATCGCCCACTCCCTCTGCCTTGATCACAGTTGAGTTTTCTAAAACCCAATTTTAAAATTTTAATAGCGGACCGTTCACCGTTGTTTGGGGTCCACATTCCACATTCAATTTTTTCACAGTTTTCTCAGAGCTAAGGTCGAAGAAATGGAATGATGAAAGAGACCAAGATCGTCTTACTTTTCTGTTAACAAATCCACCGAGAACCCCATCTTGTCGAAGAAAAAGGTAAGATACTTCGTGATTAAAGCTGCGGGCATTTAAATAACAGAGTGCATTATTGAAAAAATCGATCGCTTCATAGGTTAAACCGTTTTTTTCTGGGTCAAATGGATTAATAGTTAATCACCTGGACCAAATTAATAGTTTTTCAGTTGTTGGTGGATTTGAGGTTGAAATGGCGGTTTTATCTGTTCGATCGATTGGGTCAACGATGATTTACAAACACTGACACAGTGATGCATATATTACAAAAGCTGGCCCCTCTCCCTCTTAATTGAAATGGCTAAATGCCTCTAGGCTGCATTTGGCATTCCTTTTTTTAAGGTTAAAAGTCCTTATCTCATTTGAAAATTTGAACGAGTTAGATGAAGGTTAAAAAAACAACCTGATCTCATTAATAACCTATATGGATTCATTCATACTTCATAGCGAGAGAGAGAGGTACTTAAAACTACCTGCTATATTTAAACTCAGCCCAATTAACCCATTACATGAAGTTGGCTAGATGGTTTAACCTGATGGATTAAATGGGTTGGGTCAAACAAGATTCAAAATAAAGGAGTGTATTGGTACCTTGAACGCAACACCTTTTTTTAACTTTTTTTTTTTTTAATTTGAGAGGTGTGTAAATAATGTCAATCAACATTTAAAACAAACATAAAAAGACTTATAAGCAATGCATGGATGATATGATGACATGAACCAATACATTGGGAAACTTTGTTCCTTGGGGTCAGACTCAAATTTCCTCCCCTAATATAAGATGAGGAAGGGAAAATGAATAAGAGCAATGATAAGATAAGACCTCATAGAAATTAAAAATGAACAGGATCAAATTAAAAGCAAGAGATCATAGCTCACAATCTCACTTAGTTAGGGACTCATGATGAACTAAAGCTTTAAATTTTTTTCTTATATTTATTTTAAAAATTGGGGGTGATTTGGTTATATTCCACCTTTGATAATAGCATAAAAAAAGAATACATAAAAGCACAAATCCCTATTTTCATAAGTCTACCACATCCTCGGGAAAATAATGAGAGATGCCAATCAATACATGGAAGTGCTTTTTCTTTTAAAACATGTACTTTCTCAGTAAAGGATCAACGGCATGCCCCCTTTGATGTGCCCAAACCACTCTAAACTCTAAACTATGAGGCTTCTCTGCCTATAATAAGTTCAGCACTTCAGCCCAGCTTAAGATTCAGCAATCTAGCTTTTGGACGAGACGGGATCTGCTCCTCACATTGATTTCACAGACACATTCAACTATATATTTGGAACATCTCCCGTATTTATGTATTATTATTTATGAGAAATATTTTCAATGCATAGTGAGATATGCCTGCCAGAGTGAAAAGCAGATCCCAATTTCTCTCGGGCGTGATCAGGCCAATCAAAAGTTTAAGCTTATACATGGGTAGTTGGTGGGTGCTCCAGCTACTTTGGCCCATTAGAAAGAGCTAGTTACAACAAAGAAATAGAAGTATTGGATCACTTTATACATGGCTGACTCATTTAATAGAAATTTAATTGGGCTCTGCCAAGAAGAGTTGGATGTCAGTTATGCAACCGTATACTTAGACAACCTCATGTAATTGGTCGAGTGGTTTTGGTTGTCTACTTTTTGCCCAAACCTGAATTCTGACTTTGCAGGGCAACGCCCATTCCAGCTCCGCATATATATATATATATATATATATATATATATTGTGGGTAAATTACATATTATCATCCTATAGTCTGGATAGTGACACTTAACCTCCCAAACATTTATATGCCATAAAGACCCCTTGAACTTTCATACTCCAACACTTTACCCCCTTCTTTAACATTCCATCAATTAATTTAGTAAAAGATTCTTATATGATTGTTATCTCCTTATTAAATATCTCTAGATCTCCAAACTGCTCTTTCATTAATTTGTGGGATGATTTTGCCCTTTCTTTTATATATTTGTACATACGTTTATGTTTCTTTTCTTTCTTTTTCTAGTGAGGGTTTTGTTTAATTAGGGTTTAGAAGCAAGATGGACAAAAGAAGAGATAATGTACTTTGCCATGCCCATTTTCAATAAGTTAATAAAGAATGGGAAAAGTATTAGAATCTAAAAATTGAAGGGAGCTAAGTGTAACTACCAAAGTTCAGGATGGTAATAAAAATAAATAAAGAAAAGAGGAAACTCTAACTGGCATGGAACTTTCTGGATCAAAGGAGGCCATTGTCAAGTGTCAACCTACTGAATCTGATATGCCGAGTGGGTTGGACTGGATATTGTTTACTTTTTTGACTTTGACTTGAATTCACTCAGACCATACCCAAGCCATTGCCCATTGCATTGTATTATCCTGCTTCCTCTTTCTAAGCTGTTTCATTTTTCAAAACATGGGCTTGGTCTTCGAGGACTCTGGATTTAAGATCGGCAGCGCATACATGGAAATGTGATGAATGGGTCATGGGTGGAGTGGAACCGGGGCCCGAGGGTCGTCGTCCTCCTGAGGCTGTGGCCTGTGGGCTTCAAACTTTTTGAAAATCCGTAGACGCATCCTGGTGGGAAAGCAGAGAAGGAAGGTTCACTTTTTGACGTTAGGCCATCATTTTATTCTGGTTTCCCGCCGAAAGACAAGCCAGATAATTTTCAGTTTTCTAAAGCATGTGAAGGAGTGAAGGGCATTGGCAATGGCAATTGGCAAAGCAACCCTTCTTTATTGTTTGGACTTTGGGATTCCGAAGAAATTAAAAAAAAAAAAATCATCTAAAGGGATGTATGGTTAGGTTAGAGCTTGGAGGGAGGGTTCAGGGTAGTTATCTACATCATGGACGCGTGGGGTGCGGATCTAATCTGGCCCCCTTTGGGCCCATCCACCTCCGTTTTGTCTACCGGTCCACCTTTAATTTAATTCTTCTATTTTTATTCATTTATTTACTTTTGTTAGGCATCATGCTTCTGTTTCCTTTTTTTTTTTTTTTTTTTTTAATACAAGAACGAACGGCAGTTGTAAATTGTAAAGTTAAATAACGGCATTACAAGAACGAGGCTTTGACCTTTACATCACCTCCACGTCGATATTGCCCTTTAACTACTTTCCTACAATGACAAAATTTTTGGGCGTGGAAATTCTTATTTGCCACGTGGCAAATGAGAAGCGGGTATGCTAATTGTAAATATGCCGCTGGAGCAGATTTTATTATGTGCAAGGGTGTCAATGGATTGGTTTTGGGTTGGATTCCGTCTAAATCAAAATTCATTTGGATTGATTGGACGAATCAATAAGGCATATTGAATTTGGAGGGATTGGACGGACCAATATGACATATTAGATTGGACCTAATCCATCCATAATGAATTTATATAGGATTGAGCCAATATCTGATCCATTGATAGAAGATAAGAACATAAGTGTCAATGGACCCTTTGAGTTAAAACCAATCTAAAGTAACAGGAATTTAAATAGATTGGAGAGTCTCTAGACTGGTCTAAAATATTCATTGAATTGGATTAGATCAGGTCTATTTGTAATGGATTCACACTGGACTGGACCGAATTGGACCAAATCCAATTCAATTGGCACCCCTAATTATGTGTATGGAGTTGCCACTAGTCAAATGACACGCCAGGACAAAAGTGGTTAGGAATTAGGATATAAGAGAGTGAGAGTGCGCCTGTGCTCAACCGGAAAGGGTAGGTGATGCCGCGTTGCTAATATTTTTACCACATGGTATTGCGTGATTGCTCGTGATTTTTTCCTTTTCTCTCTTTCTGTGAATGAAGTAAGTTTATCAAAGTTAGTTCCCCAAGACTGTAGAGAGAGAAAGAGAGAGAGAGGGGGGGGGGGGGGGGACGATACTATTAAAGGTGAGGTAGTGGTAGAACAACCCCACCAGAGCCCAATAAATGTGCTCATCCTACCTTTTTCAACCGTCGTCCAGCATGTTGAGGAAGTTGGTGGACCAGTCGAACAACTGGACCAGGTTAAAAAGAGTAATGAGGTGTGGTCCAGTGCTAATTAAGCCAATTCTGAGCGCAAGCCTTTCAGAAATGTTATTACCAGCTGGGTAGGTTCTAAATATTGAAATGTATTGGATGAGGGGTATATGGGACTTAAACCGAGCCCCCTGAATCTGTTAGAAAA